CAGCAAAACAGATCTGTTTGTCGTTTGTTATCGTAAACATACGTTACGAAGGCACGTACAACAACAGGAGGCGCACGTTTCTTGTATTGAGTGGGAAGAAGGGGCTCTAAAGGGTAATAAGATAAGTGAAGCCAGTGCACTCGGCATTTGATAGAGACCCATCAGTCTCGGAAAAACTAAACCATCATACGTTTTCTGATTTTCTAAATTTCCTTTCTGCTTCGTAGTCTTCTTTATCTTTTCGGTCATCACCTAAAATAAACAAGGGTTTTTTTTTGCAGTGTCTTTGGATAACACCGTGACTCCATCCAACAACCGCGCCAATCGAATACGAGTAGGTTATTACATCTGGGTGTTTGATATAACATTTGTAGACTGTATATAATTGGATTGTAAATGTAAATTGTATTCTCTTGAAATTTCTGCCAATCTTAATCACGGTGATGTACATACGCGAACTCCTGATAACATACCAAGGAACGTTATAAAACTTCCTACAAGGTTACGTAATCAATATGTACTTCTGCCAGAGTAGCTGTGTTATGGGCTTGTAATGAAATGTTCAGAATGCTTTTTTCAAGTATATAAGGACTCAGTCATCTAGGAGTAGTTAGTAGCTGTTGTCAGCAAAGACCGACTGTCTGGAAAGTTCTAGTGAGAAATCTACTGTGATATACTTCGAAGACTAAGCATTTCGAGGAGATTTGAAGACAGTGAGTTTTTGCCAGTGGTAAACTAAGTCTGTAGTGGCTTAAAGTAATTTCTTTCAAGGATGATTGTAGTATTTTCGATAGGAGTCGCAACTTGATAATAATTATTACACGTTGTTTGATGAAAGAGTTTGCTTTGTCAGTCGAAGTGAGGTGTTCCTTCTGCCGCTTAGATTATACTGCAACATTTTTGTAACCATAGAACTTTCATGATGCATTGGTGGCATTTTGCAGAGTTATTGAATATTTCATTTGTAGCCTCTTTGAACTTTCCAGATCTCGGCTCGCGTCATTAAAAAATGAATACTAAACACTTTTACAGAGCTGAT